CCAAAGGGTGATTTGCACAGAACACACTGAACTCTCTTTTCTCTTTGCTACTAACAACTCAGACTGAAGGCCAAAGATAAGAGAATGCACATTGTTCTTGGAGCTATTTCCTTGTGGTCCTTTACTGTCTTGTGGAAACATTTTGGTTGTATAGGTGAAAGTTAATTGTAAAAGCTTCTTGTTCCTCACTTTTTACTTCTTATTCTGAATGAGGACTGAGAATTCTGGGTGGAGAATGAGTTGAAGCTTCCTGTGTTAGACGCTGATGTACCAATGTCATTATAGTTACCCACCCACATTGAAGTCACCTGTAGTAAAATGCCCATACTGGAGTGTTCCTAGTGGTAAGACCCACAGGGAATCCTATCCTATACACTGCTCTGCCCCCACAACTCCCATCAAGATGAGTTTCAGGCTAAGGCTCTCAAAATCTGGACCCTTGTCTCCCACAAATTGCACATATATACTCTTCTTTCTAACTGGTCTTGGCATGCTCTCCCAGGAATGATCAGCTCTGACTTTTACAGTGCAGTTATTGACATCTGACCAAGTGGAATTTGTTCCTTTGTATACCCCTCCCATTGAACTCATTCTCTACACAACCCATCATCCCTAATCCACACAGTCATCTGCAAATCACTGTCTCACAGTGATAGTTAATGTCCAGACCTTTTGCCTTCCACAGGTTATAAACACAAGAATGGCAAGGGATTTTGATTCCTTTTCTTTGTAATCCTCAAAATAAGGGTAAAAAGATAAACTTCATAACCAAACCTATTTCTCGAGGCTCACAGAACTCTTAAAAGTAAGAGAAAAACTTCAAGATGGGTAATGAGACATTGGAGAAATTCATCCAGTCTCACTATCACAAATTATTTTGATTTATGAGAATTAAATTCAACCCCAGACCTCCTATAATTTCCTATCTCTTTGAAAATTCTTAGTATTAATCTAAACTATTGCTACTATGGTCAAGAGGTATATTCTTTTTTCTAAGGTATATTCTTATAATGACTAAAATATCTATAATCTTACTCTATATGGTATACTTGCTTTGAGCATTTTACTTATATTAGCTCAGTTATCCTTAGAGTAGTATCGGTCATGGCTAGGAACTTCCCTTCCTTCCCCCACTGTGCCATGTGGTCAGCTCAGGTTGGTTGCAAATTCTTACTGCTTGTCCTGTGGAGAAATGAAGTTCCCATCATCTCTCTTGGAGGAGTGAAAGCCCTGGAATCTTAGACCAACAGAATACATAGAGTATATAGAAAATTGGCGCCATGTGTTTTCTTGCCTTGAGACACTCTCCCTGGAAGTTCTGAGACTCCCTGAAGTTTATCCAACTATTCTGTTAAAGGGAATACAGGGAGAATCCTGGAGATCACATGAAGAGGGAAAATACTCCAGTTGAGTCTAATCTTTCCCATTAACCAGCTCAGGCATGAAGTATGTGAAGAAAGCCAAACCCATCAGACCAGAGCTGCCACTGAATAACCCCAATCACTCCACTGAGGAAAGAGAAATTGTTGTAATGAACTCTTCCCATTGTTCTGATCTGTTAACTTGTGAGATCTAATGAGTAGTTATTTTAAGCCACCAAGTTATGGGCAAGTATGTTTCTCAGCAATAGTTACCAGGGTCACCTAGATAATATGAGAATGAACTAGATTTTAAAACTAGGCTATCTTTTTCCTAGTGCACACAAAAAAATCACTAAGCTATAGCCTTACCACTAGGAAAAAAAAATGTCCAAAGCACCCTGATACTGTCCCCAGCTATTAACTTCCAGTTGTTAAATGACTATAAGGTAGGAATTAAAGCCTATCCTGTATTATGATTTATTTGATACCTGTTTACTAAGTACTACTAAGTATGAGATCTTCATTTGAGATTTATCACACACACACACACACACACTTAGTTTCTCAGTAAGTACCTTAATTTTTTTAAATTTGGAGTACTTTAGGCATTTTTCTTAATACAGGTTCAAGTTCCGCTGCTTGGGCACAATAGCTGTGAGTAATTTAATATAATCCATGTCATTCAAAAGTGGTTCTACACTCATGTCTGTAACACACTGGAATATCAGAAAGATCAAAGCACCAATTTCTTCCAGGAGACTAGAGCATTGTAAAGCTATCTCAGTTCACTCAAAAACTATTTTTTCATGTTCACACACAGTCAGAGCAACTCTAAAAGCACTTTGCAGTTTTCCTTTGATCTGAAATCAACACAAGTAGAAGTCCACCTGAAATAAACTCCTCCAATGATGCTTTCTTGGCTCATGCTTTAGGTAGAACCAGTAGATTTTGAATAGCTGGGTTTTTATACTTGTGAGCTCATGTTTTTTTCCCTCCAAGAACAGTCTCAATTTAAGGCACTTTGCTTTAATAATATTATCAAGAGTATCATTTGGAAAATGTTCTATGTATGATTTCACACGTAGATGAAAAAATGAAAGATGGCCCTGGCAAATATGAAATCCAATCTTTCCTGCATGTTTTTATTTTCTTTCTGAAATAGCTCCCGGAGATCAAAGCTCTGTGAATGTTCTTCATCCAAGAAAATGATCTAGATCATAGAGATGTGTTGAAACTCCAGGGCCTTCACCTTCTTCATCCCAAGTCTCCAGGGTCCAGGACTTGAGCTAAACTTTGGACAGAGTGCAAGGGTTGCTGTGTCCTCTGTCCTAACTTAGGCTTAATGTGGTCTGTAAAGTGTACTTGAAACCAGTATAGTCTTTGAGATTAGTTGTTCAAGTTTTTGTGGGACATAGGGCAGAGTTCATATGGGTAGTTAATAAAAACAAAACAGCCCCAAACCCTTGGCATAGCGTTACTTCCTATCGGTTGTCTTTACAAAAAAACATGGGGCATTTTTATCTCTCATTCTAGTCTATTCACTTTTGCAAGGCTTTGGCTTTCCTCCAAGATTATGTATTTACACGCCCTTAAAAACAAAGAGGGTCAACATATTTGCAATTCATTTTTATAGCCTTGATAGAAGTAAAAGGAAAAGCATGTAGATTTAATCCAATTACTACTGGCCTCAAAGGAAAAGAAATACACTCTAGAGAAGAGTTGTAACAAAGGGCAGTCCCAGAGATCTACTTCCTCTAAGAGAACACAGGTTCTATGAGGTTTAGAGTTATGATCATTGGAAAGATTCTGTCCCTTGAAATCCAGTCTTCTCTAGAAGCCCTGGATTTTTTTAGTTTGTAGAAGGAGTTTAGGAATTCACCCAGTCAGCTCCCATATATGTACTTGCTGTGGGAGGGAAAGCCACAAGCTGAGAATTACCATGGCTTAGCCCCCGAATCTCTGTGTAACATTAAATTCTCCCACAGTCAGTGAAAATTTGGCTTTAAAAAGGACTACAGGATTAGCCATTCCAACGAGAAAAAAGCCATTTGCTCCTCTGTTTCCCACAGAGTTAGCAGAATACATTCTGACAGAAACAAAACAAGTCTGCCAAGACCTGTGCAAACAGAACTAGCCTTTCATCATCAATAAACAAATCTACTCTTGAGCTATAGAGAGTCATAATAGAAATATATATTGCCTTTTATCTTCTTTTCAGTGAGAGGAGTGAGGTGTCAGGAGTTATTGCTTTAATATTAACACAGTAGCACTTTTTCTTTTGATTGTGTGTAGGTATGCATAGAATAGAACCTGTGATTATAAGACTGTTATGCTAGCCAGCTTCTTGGCAGCCTTTGGAAAACACATAAAATTGGCTGATCACATTATTGCCACTGTTTTAAATTGTTCTTATGGAGTTATGATAAGAAGGCTTCTGGACTTCTGCTCAAAGAAGAAGGAAAAGGAAGATGATACATTTGCCTCTACTTAACTCACATAAACTTAGTTTAGAAAAGTGGGAACACATGGAAGGCTTAACTGATTATTGACTTTAAATTTACAGTGTACACTGGAATCAACAGAAGGATGATGTCCAAGACTCAACTGAGTTCCTGAGTAATGTCTTATTTTTTTTTTATTATTTATTAATCTGAGACAGGTTTAAGGCTATGCTTGAACTCACTGTGTAACCCAGGCTGGCCTCAAACTTACAGTGATCCTCCTGCCTCGGCCTTCAAAGTGCTGGGGTTACAGGACTTCACGACCACACCCAGTGGTGGGTAAATCTTAATGTTGGAAAGCAGAAGGGACAAGTACTGATCTACTGAATTTATTACAAGCACTAACTAGGCTAGGGGCAATTTTTCCACAAGCAATTTCAGGGTCTTATTTTATGCCAGAGACTTTAAGGCTAATAACTCGATTAACCTCCTATTCCCTACTAACTAGATTTATGAAATGCCAAGGGAGTCAGCAAAGTATTAAGCTCTAGTTTGGATATAATTACTTTAAAGTGGAAAAACGAAAGCCTTACCATAAAACTAAGGACTTCATTTCTAGCTAAATTCAACTCTTCATTTTTCCTAAGGTAATTAGTATCTTGGTCAAACATAAGGGAAACCAAATGGACCCCCAAAATGATGAATGGTTAATCAAGACTTAATATGAGACACAAAGACTACATTTTACAAGGATAACTTAAACTTCTAGCTTCAACTGCACTTGGTTTAATAGCATCCATTGGCCTCATATTCCAACAAAGCCATCTGGAGGATGTGAATAGAACTGAACTGGACACAGTCTTTCTTAGGACAACAAAATTTCCTTTCCCTCTTTCCCTTTCTGCTATTTGAAAATAAACAGTAATAAAATGAGAGAGGATTTCATAGGAAAAGTGCAGTTCATTTTGAATAACAGCTTAAACATCTCAGTGACAAATATGATACAAATCATAACCGCAAGCACCACAAGATTCTTATAACTGTCTCCACTCCTGGGTCTTATTACTATGAGCTTTGTCAGATGACCTTCCCATAAACATAGCAATACCAATTATTTAATTACATACAACGCTGACCGTGATTGTTACGTTTTAAAGTCAGAAATTCAGAAGCAATTAATTCTTAGTAAAAGGCTTACCTGAATGCTGGCTGTAGAGCGGTTTTTGCGAGTTGTAGTAGTAGCCATTGTAGTGGTGGTTTCCATAACAGTCGTAGACATTTCTGGTGGCATGGAGGTGGTCTGTGTGGTTCCCAAGATGGATGGGACTTCTCCCACCAGCCGGACACTTCCATTGATTTTAATGTTAGGATTGTTCTCAGCTGCCATGTTGAGTACCTTCAGGCCATCATAATAGAGCCCAGAGAGCTGGCCTTGAAAGAGGCGTCCTTTGTCCTTTCCTCCAATGGCTATTTGCGCCTGGGTGTTGAAGATGGTTAGCTGCCGGCCTAGTGGGTTGGGTGGAGGAAATATTATTATTTCCATACATTTTCCCCTCCTTGCCTTACCCGGTCTGAATGGACCAGGCATCAAAGCAGATGTCCTTGAGCATTTGAAAGGGGAGAGATAGACAACAAAATCTCAACACTGATATTGGCAAGTAACATATCATTATCTCTTCCACTGTCTAGCTGAAAATCCTAAATAACCTGAATAATGAAGTCCTTCTTTTTTCCTCTTGGGAAGAAGAAATCTTGTTTCAATGATGAAAGCTGTTGTGGTATTCTTTTATATGTCATTATGGATGACAGAAATATCCAAATAAATAATGACCAGAATAAATCACTGATGCTTACTGCTTTGACTTTTTAAACTACAAATTTAATAATAGCAACTGAAAGAAATTATATGTGACAAACAAATACTCAGTGAGGTGATTAAGACCACTTAATTTTAAGAATAGAAAAGATAATTAAATTATATTAATTGAAATTAAATTTCATATTAAAGACTAGGATTTATTGCACACTTATAAACATTGTAGTCACCAAAATAATAATTTCCTACATCTTCATAGTAAGTAATATTCTACCTATATTTATTGTTTAACAATATCATGACAGATAAATTCCTATAACTACCTTTTTTGGAGGCAAGAGGTTATGATCATATAACTAAACTATACTCTGTAGTAGAAAATAAGTCAGCATTAATCAAACTGTTGGAATGGAATTAGGAAGGTAGGAAATATGTCACTCAGAATTGGTAATATTTTTAGAAGAAGGGAGATTCTAATGAAGAAAGCAACATAAGAATCTCCTTAAATTATATAGAGCTACATTAACAAGTTGAAGAAAATCAGTAGTTCACTCTATTTGGAGTTGTCATGAGGGGCCATTTATACTTCTGTAGATTGAATACTAGCAGAATAAAATCATGGCAGAAAATAGTTTAGAATAGTGAAGCGATTAATCTTACTCCCAACTATTTCTTATTTTTTAAAGCCTATGTGAAGTTAGATCCTTCCCAGAAAAAAATTAAAAAGATTCTTAAATTTCATTTTAGTTCATCATGGAAGTGACATGCTAAGGCTTTCTTTAGTGATATTTCTTTAGATTACTCCCTTATGCTTTTCCTGGAAAGGGAAAACAGACAGTATTCGAAGTAAGTCATATCCCTTCTGAGTCTTTCTTCACTTCATGTAGTGATCAAACAAAACTCCATTCATCCTGAACCTAATCACTGGATTATGTCAGCTATAAGAAAACTCAAAACAACTTTGTTTTATTCTTGCCTGATTATTAAAAGTGGACAGACATTAGGAGACTGAAGTGTTTGCTCTACAATCTCTGATTTAATGAGCAGAGGTATATGATGCCCTTTGGGCCCTTATTCTCCACCCCTATTACACCACTTTCAAGGCTATGAAAATGCTTAGCTTTCCTTAAAGCTCTGGTGTATAGTGTGGAAGCTACATAGTGTATAGTTCTTCCTCAGTGTACACTGGTGGGAGAAATTAAAGCAGCAGAGAAGGGAAACTGTGTCTGTTCAGAGGGAACTCTTTAGCCAACTGTCACTTTAACTTTTCAGGATTTATTACTCAAAAAGAATGTATAAATAACACCTATATGGAGACTTAAGGAATTAACTAGTAAATTTTGTTACAGTCAAAATGATCTGCTCTTTACAATAATCTCTAATGCATAGAAAAGGGATCTGCTGGCCTTAGTGATAACAGAATTATCCAGATCCCAAGGGTGCAATCAAATCAGATGGAATAGATTTCCATTGTTTTTGCACCAATTCCTTCAGGGTCCTGTTATATGCATAGTTGTCTGCCCTTCGGCCTCTGTCCTCATCACACAGATGGAACCAAAGTTAAATGTCCAGTAACACAGTTTGCTCATTTTGACAACTTTTTCTGTGGTTTCTTAGCTTTCTACATAAAAAGTGGTATAACTGAAGTGGTGAAGAAATACTGCTTCAACATAGGCATTGGAGTATGTAACAGAAGTTAGAAGAAGGTGCATAATTAGATATTTCAAGGGTGAAAGTTCAATATCTTACACTAGACAGCCCCAGGGCCCAGGCATGTCTTTCATACCCACAACCATTGTCCATTCATAACATTTACCCATTTTTTGTTATTTGTATATAATCCAGCACTGCTGGCTAGCAAGTGGTTGCATAATCTTGATTACAGGTAGAAGCTTTTATAATCTAATATTCTTGAGAGTACTTCATGATGATAACTTCTATAATGGTTTTCATCTTACTTTCTAGGAAATATTTATTATGCTAATGCTTGAAAATGAAAAGAGGGCCAGAGAAAATTGAAATTTAAAGCTGAATTGCACTAGCTGGAAATGATATAGTTCACTCCATAAAGTGGTCTTTGCTCGCTGGAAACCGACCCAGGCATTAGGAGAAGCAAGACATGTTCAGGGGCTATAATATTAAACTGCTGCTTCATCCCTGGTTACCACTGCTTTCCCAGAGAGATTCTGACTAATCACTTCTTGCAAATGAAACTGGCAGGGTGAGACAGGGAAAGAGTTGTCTGTTCAATTTCCCATCATGTCATAGAAAGTGCTTGGGGTTCTATCTGCTTTTTTGCTTTATGATGTACTTCCAGCTAGATTTGCTTTTCTTTTGCTTGAAAATTTGCACCTAATACTCTGTACATTGGGTTAGGTAGCTAAAAGCAAAGATAGCAATCCTAAAGGAAATATAAAACATATTCATTCTCCTGCCTTCTCCTCTGAGTGACTCATCTTTCTCAGCTAAGCACGAGAATGGGCACTGCCCTCTCTATATGGGATATGAAAGATAAACTTCAGAAAGTCTCCCTTTTCAGGGTTTGCCCAAAATTTCTCAAAATCAATGCCATATTTATTTATTCTCATTAGTGCTGTGTTTGTTCTCATTCCCTCAGTATTCTCATTAGTTCTTATCTTCAATAATATTTTTAAAATAAGTGAGCATTATAAATATAAATATATCTGTGTGTGTGTGTGTGTGTGTGTGTGTGACATACATAGATTTCTCAGTCTGAGAATCATGCTTTCAGGAATAATATGAAGGTTTTTGTTCATTTGGTTGGTTGGTTAGTTGTTATTTTGGTTTTTTTTTTGGTTTTGTGGGGGGACACCAGTATAGGGTTTGTAGTAGTTTTGTTTTAGTTGTTTGTCCTCTTGGAAATCCTTAATTGTTACCTCATTTGGACATTAAGTTCACATATGCTTAAATTAAATCTTTGCACGTCTCTAGTCAGTGTTGCACAAAGACTAATTAATTAAACCTCAGAATACCCTTGGGGAACTGGCAGTATAATTTCTCCTCTCCTCAGATGGGAAACCTGAGACATAAAGAGGTTAAGTGGATTGTCTAAGGTCAGAAAGTCAATCAATAGTAGACAGAGCCAGCAAACAGACTTGGGAATGCTATCACCTAGCTCTCTTCTCCAGTGACAAAAATAACTCCAAGAGGCATTCCAAGTACTTCCTAGTGCGTCTGTCTAATCATCTTTCTGTCGCCACCCTTTATATTCACTGTCACAAGATCTCTCAGTGCATATTTTCCATGACTTTTGATGGGAAAGATAGCTAGGCAGAGGAAGAGGTAAAGCAATAGAATAAATAGATGTTACTCACCCAAATTACAGAAAATAGAATTCAGTGAAAACAATGTAGAAGAAAATTGGACAGTTTGCTAATGATTCTTTTTAATATTATATGACACATATTAGATGAAGAAACTAGGATGCCTCCCTCCATCCCTCCCCAAACTCCCCTCTCCCACCTCAACTTAGGCATTTGAAAACATCCTTCTATCCAAAAGCTAATTCATAACAATGCTAGCATAAGGAAAGCTAAAGCCTACCAATACTTTATAATGGTTGATACAAATGAAAATGCCTGGCATGCTATTCAACTTAGACTTCAAAAGGCAATGGAGTAAAATAAAATATCTTTAACATAAAATTGAAAGAAACAAAAAAGTTCTCTCAGGCACATGAGACTCAGACATGCATCTAGTTTTCTTTTCCTTTTTAAAAGTGAGGCAATCATTGTGTTTAATGTTAAAGGGACTTTATGAGCTGATGGTTACTAAACAGAATTATTTGCTTTTTAGAGTTATTCTTAATTTATTTTTAATTAGATCGCATATGTTGAAAACAGGGCAAACAGTTAAGACTTGGTGAGGATTTTCTGTGTTTAAAGGTCTGAATGTCTTCACCTAACTTAGAATTGCAGTGGTTCTTTATTTAGTAAGAAATACCCCAAATTCCTCCTCATCTGTAATGCAATCAAATCTCTACAAACTTTAAGGGCTCACTTAAGGTTTTCAAGACAAGAGTAGCTTATACTGTCTCAAGAAAGAGCAGAATGTATAGCTTTCGAGACATAGAGATTGTCTTCAATAAAAAAATAGTAGTTTATCTCATAACCAACTGAAGCCACACAGAAAATTCTAACGAGTTGTAACCGATGCCCTCTTGTAATAAGAGTGGTTGTTTCATTGAGCATATCAGAAACTGTTTTGCCTTTCATGAGCCTTTCCCCTTCCAACTCATTGTCTTCACCACTTACATGTTTGTTGCATAAAACATCAAATACACAAAGGCATCATGCAACCAAAGTGTAAAATAAGTTTGTTTTCTTTTAGATTCAGTCAGGAACTAGGATGCAATTAATCTCATAAAAAAAAAACACACTTTTGCCTCTAGGGTTTGAATTTGAAGGCAAAAGTCACCTTTCTCATTCTTTTCTTAAAAACAAATGTTACAACACATTGCTTCCTTTATAACATTTGTTTTAATCAGTTTACGTTTCAAGTCAGTCTATGATTTTTTTTTTTTTTTTTTTTTTTTT